CCAAAAATAAAACTGAATTAGTAATAATAGTCCTCATCAAAGCTTATGGTAGGCGTTCCCCAACAGCACCGTTTGAATGAGGCCTTTACCATGGCTCAATCTTATTCTGGCTCCTATTAAAAACATTGAACAGCAAATGGTGAAGAGGCAGACGAAGTGAAAAGACTGCAGCAGAACCAGATTATGACCTGGAGAAGACCAAGCTAAACGGATGTAGGAGTCTTTACTTCATTGAGACAACCTGTAAAATATGTATTTAACGACAGGTTTAGCTGTGCGATCCTTGTTGGCAGTATTGAAGGACTTGACTATAAAATTCTACCTGGTTAGCTAGAAAAAAGTAGGACAGTTTTAAGAGCCAGAGACGTTCAAGAAATGTTTCTTTTCTTGTTTCTGAGTAAAGACGACAGAAGATATTTAAAGAGTACTTTAGTGGAGCCGTCTTAGTTTTTGCACTGTTAGAGTTACAGTAGCTAACTGAAAATGGACCAGCCTGGTTTACTTAAATCTTACTATTCAACATGGGTTAGTTTGATCATTTTATACAGTATTCAAAATAAGACGTACAGATCATTCTAGTGTGAAATGGCATAGCAGGTGTGGCTATCAGTTTAGCATGAAGTTTTAACATCCATGTGATTAAAAGAGAATTAGGAGTAAATATATAATGGAAAATGTTACGTGTATATAAAAGTTTCCAGATTAGGTTTGGTTAGGATGGTTATTAAAAACAAAAAATATTCACAGGTGTAATCAGAATGAGTGGTGGAAAAAAATCTGAATGTCTGAAGAAATAATTTAATGCAATAGGACCCTTTTTAATAGAGCTGGAAAACGGTTACCAGCCGGTACTATGAGGAAGTAGAACTAACAGGCTTTCATTTATTTCAGTGTGAGCCGTTACTCTGCACTGAAGCTCAGTAAAGTCTGACTTGATATTATTGTGTTTATGATTATCTTTAGCAAATCATCTTTGTGAGCATTAGAAGCTAATAGTGGAAGTGCATTTTCAGCAGGAACGGTGATATCTGAGCTCTCAGCTTGTTTGATCTATAAATCCAGGCTTAGTTTAACATAAATAATCTCCTCTAGAAATTAAATTGCATGTTTGAAAGGTGAGATGAAGCTCTGAGGTTTGAGTTAATAGGAGAGTCGATATAAGTTTAGATATTTTTACAGGGGGAGGCTTCACATTTCTGTGTTTTATGAGGACCCTAGGCGTTCCTCTATCTATCTGGCGGGTATTTTGTGTATTACAGGGACAGCATCATCCGGGGATCTTTCATGTCTTGATATATTTTTGGAACAGTCATGTTACGGTTATATCTTAGTGTTTATTTTTAGCTTTTGTCCATAGGGATCCCAGTTTCAGAATATAAATATAATCCATGGAAATGCTTTTCATTGTAAATATGCATTTACACTTTTTAAATGACTTCATAAATTCAGTTAAACCATCTATATTTCACTGCTGCCTTAACATTTACAGCATTCCATTTTCACAGTCAAATACAGATTTAGCGTTTAAATGCAACATTATTTTAAAGGAGTACTTAAATAATCATATTTATTTAGATTTGCCCCAAATGCTAATCAAGTTACTTTGGATAGAAAGTAACAATTTGCAACCTTCTTATGCACATAAAAAAAAAAAAAAAAAAATCCAAGATACAAAAAAAGCCCAGACTTTACTGATCACTTTTTTTTTTTTTTTTGCATGAATGGATGCGAACGTATATATTTTCCGTCAGTTCTGCTAAGTTTAATTAGCAGACAGGCTGATCTCTGTAATAATACTTTCAAGTCACATCGTTCTCTCTCTATGGTAGATAAAAAAAAGTTCGTTAAAAATGTTAACTTATTACTATATAGGCAGCATAACTTACAGTTTATTATCTTTCCAATGTTTTTTTCCAACTTCTTATCTAATACAAGAACTTTCTCAGCTAAACTAATCTTTAAATACTGCAACAGGGTTCAGTAGTATCTGATGAGGGGTGCGGTTGAGGTGATTTCATGTTTTAAGTTATGGTTTGTTTCATATGATAAGAATGCTGCATGATAACTCATCTGCCAAAGTTATGGAAGACCCTCCAACACTGCCGACCACATCTCAATTCCAGTGTTCAAACCTTAGGCACAAACATGAGGCTGAATTTTAAACGTGTTCCCAAAAAAACATTAATTTGTTATTTTGAGTGTTTTAAATTAGCCAACAACGGGCTGTAACAGGTGAAAGAAAAAAGGAACAATGTTATCCCCAGAAATAAACACACACACACACACACACACTCATTCATACATCCAGGTAGCAACACTGCCCCCCAAAGGATGACTACAGCAATTGCATTTTCAAAATGTTTCCTTATGAGTTATTACTGCTTCTATTGGTATAAAAGCTGCTCTTAATAGTATAAAAGCCATTAAACACAGTAAAAATGATGATAGTTAATTTAAACATTGAAACTGAGTATTTTAAGCACAAATTATTATCAGTTTTAAAACCTTTAATCCATCGCAACAGACGTTATTTTTGAAACTAAAGCAAAAGAGTAAGATTAGACACTCTGAATAAAGTCTGACCATTAAAGTATGATGCACTGTGAACGGAAGTGAACTTGTAGCTGCTGTATCGGACCTTTGGCGGGCAGAAATGCTCTATAACACAAAGACACATAGCTGATGTTAGGTTTAAATCCTTTATAAAAGTTTAACAGTAAAGTAGCCACAGCAGAAAGCAGCCTTTATACTGCTTCTGGTTTAAAATGGTATAAAATCCCTTTTTTTGTTAATTCATTTAAGGGCATTTCCTAAACTCAGATGCTGAAATAGACCATCCCTTGTCCTTCATCAAAAATCATCTTCATAGTTGGATTTTTTTTTTTGTGGGAGGGGGGATATATATATTCAAGAAACAAAATCTTGACGCCACTGTGACTTTTGTATGGAACAGAAAAGCTGATCAGCGGCTGGGTTGGATTATTTGATATGGAAAGGTAAAGCAATGTTAATCTGAAACCTGATGGATGTAAATCAATCAACAAGAAAATCATCAGCTCAAAGAACCAGTGGAACTAAATGCTAAGATATTTAACAAGCATTAGGTTTAGATAATCATATATAGCGTCTCTGTGACTCCTTCATGTTCAGATTGAATCCAGTTTAAATTCATCAACATAATTAATCAAAGTTCAGCGATCCTTTATTCAGCAACATGTAATAGAATCAGGGTCAAATGTTTTTTTATGCATGTGTGACTCGTACACTGAAACAGGCCTAAAAATAATAATAATTAACAGATTATTGAAACAATCAATTAATTTTATGAATCAATTAATCATTAACTGGAGTATAGAGACTCTAAAAGATGCTTTTAGCTGACAGACCAACCCACTGAGAGCAGTAATTATATTCAAATTGTAAAAAATGTATTTAATTCTGCGAGAAAAAAAAATTTTGCTATTCGATTTTTAATTGAAAAAAATAATAAAGCAAAATAACTGTTAGTTGCAGCCCTAATATCAATTAAACAAATCTGCTTTTTCCTTTAAATGATGATAAGGGGACAAAAATGACAAGAAACATCATTATTGCCCCCTACTGGCAGAAGCTGGTATTACTTTAAGGATTTTTACCAGCAAATGGAAAACAGATCAAACAAAAAACATAAAATCTGGTTTAGCATCCTTTCAGCTTTATATAAAACAGGTAGTACTTTGTTTATGCAACAGGTAGATTAATTGGTTCAGCCTGTGTCTAATGATGGAAGATAACCATGGTCTGTTATAAAGTAGCATAAAGAGAATACCGGTAACCATTCCTCCTGTGAATAAAGCAAAAGAAGGAAAATGCAAGATGTGTTTTTTTTCTGCTGTTGCATTAATAGCTTGAACAGGCTACTTATGCTTAATAATATGTTCTTTTGTTTGCTTATGAAAAAGATTTCAGGGCTCCAGACTTGGAGGTTTAACTCTTCAAATGGGTTAACAATCCCACTGGATCAGTACAGTTTTGTCAAAAAATTAAGTTGTTTTGCAAAATATGCTTAACTCCAATTATATTTCATCTAAACTCTTGGAACAGAACTTGAGAGACTTATTTATGTGTTTAAAGAAAAGCATTTTTCCAGTGTTGTTAAAAACTGTGCATTTAGATCCCAGGCGAAGTATTTTTGTACCATATTCATGGATCTTCAGTGCATTACAATTTAATCCTGCAGTCTTTTTTTGCCATCTGCTTTAAAGGCAGATTTGTTTTTGACAACCTTTTGATCAGATCTGCTGATGCATGGTGAGATCAGAATAATCGCAGAATGATCTGGATCGCTAAACAAAAAATAACTTCTGCTTATAAGGAAATGCGTTTTCAAATATTTGAAAGCCTTTAGTCATGATGGCTAAGATTTCAAACTTTAATTTGAAACATGTTTTGTTCTGATTTCAAAAGAAACTTTGCAAAACTTTAAGGAACTGTTAGCATAGCTTTTTTTATGCTGTCAGTGGATCAGATGTGGATTCAATCTAAACACAAGTTACATACATAATAGAGTGTGATGTTACAGCCACACACTAACACACACCCCCCACCCACCCACACACACACACACACACACACACACACATACACAGTTATAATGTTTTTAGTGACGGTTGTATACAGCAGAAATGTGCGAACACTCGGGTGAACAACAGCATCAGTGGCGTTTTGCCTCAGTGAAGCCCGACAGGATGCCCTGCATAAGAGCAGCGACCCTGAACGCATCACCACGACCAGGTCACATGATTGCGGCAGCTGTATAGCCAAGGAACTGAAACTAAACTGAAAGTCATGTTTACATTTTTGGAGAAATAGTTTAAATCCTATCCTCTGTTTTTCATAAAGAATCCCTTGATAACATTTAAAAGTATTAAACATGTCAGTTATTTTTATAAGACTTGATTGTCGTCTGATGCAAAGCTAACATTTCATCTCCAATCAAAATCAGAAATCATCTAGTTTCCTTTTTTTTTCTTTAATATGAAGTTTTCTAGTTTTTATTTTGTCTTTGGTGTAAAGATTTAGTTTGGACTTTTTTCATCCCAGGATCTAAAGTTACCATTAAATAATCAGTTTGGTGACAGCATCAATCTTCACATGTGACTCAGTCCGAATGTGTTCCTCTCTGTTGGTTTTAGGAGCTTTGGATGCAGTCATGGAGCTGGAGCTGCTGATTTGGACCTACTTTTTTCCTTTCAGGAATGTAAAGCCGGGGTGGTGATGCTGTTTTCGGGTCGGACGCAGCGGCGGGACGAACATCTCGTCAGACATTTTTTGTGCGTGTTGGAAGATACCTGGACTGCAGCTCAAACTTGTCTGCATGAAACGAGTCGGAGCCTCCAGGTGCAGCCACAGCTTTCATTTGACGCGGGCAGCCACATCATCACCGTTGTCAGTAATAAGCTCGTCCAATGGGAGTAGATGTTGTTCCTGAGAGCTCTGCTGATTGCTGGCGAGGAGTCGCCGAGTGTTGAAAAGATGGTGAGACAGTAGGAAGGGCTGGGGTCGGGTCGATTCAAGATAAACTCAGAAAACAGAAACAGAGAACAGCCTTCATTTACAGATAAGTCAGTTTTCTTCTATTAAATTCAAGTCCAGTTCTGTACAATCCCGCTCGAACACTGCCTGCTGGGCTGCCTCACGCTCCTCATTGTCCTCCTCTTCATCTTCATCGTCTTCGCGGCACTCCTCGTCGCTCTCACTTAGCGGCCCGATGCTGGTCCTGCCCAGGCACTCGGCCGGTGAGCAGGAGCCCCGAAAGTCGCCCATAAAGGCCTCCATGCTCATGCAAATGTCACCACCACAGGCTAGCCTTCCACCGCCGCGCTCCAGGCACTGCGGGTCGATGCTGCGTGTCTGCAGAGAGGAAAAAGAACTGGTAAGCAGAAGAGATCAACACGAGTAACCAGAGAAATCTAAAATAAAAATCAAAGTATAGAAACAATACGTCATCACACTAAAATGTTTTTTAAGCCAATTATCTGAGTAAATCCAAAAGCAATCCAATTGAATTAAGATTTGTTTTATTCATTGGGAACAGCTACAATATACTGCAAAGAGTACAGCAAATGTTCGTCTACATTTACATGCCTATAAACTTTGATAACGTCCTCTTCTTTACTCCTAACAATAGAAAATTGTACTACTTTTTTAAGTTTTTCCCCAAGATCAGGATTCTGTGAAGATCTGTCAAGTTTTCTGAAAACCAGATTTTTACACGTGTTCCAAGCAGCGTTAATTTCGTCAATCACCACGATGATGAAAATATTTCCTCAACGCCCCTTTTCCCCGTGACGATAACAAGACGAAAACACACAAAATTGTTTCCAGAAAATAAAAATATGACGAAAATAAAAAATTATTTTTGTCATTGAGACTAAGAGAGACGGAATTTACGATCCATTGACGATTGGACATTAAGAAATGTAATTATTTATAATGAATTTGTAATTGTTAATATACAGTAAGTGCTTCTTGAGCTTCAAAGAAAATTATGGGTTTTTGCTCTGTTTGCCCCTACATGGCGCCTGTCCCACAGTGCCTCGCGCCGCTCAGTCAGTGGTAGCTGAGGGCTAACTCATAGCTCAACTTGGCAGTCATGGCAGATACCGGTGTGGGGTTTGTTAAACAACGCATGGATGTATTGAGCCATTTGGTTTACAACTCGAATGAAAACACCGGAGGAAGGACGCCACCAAAGAGTCTACGGCTTCAAAATGGCAAGACTAAAATTGATTTTTGTCATTTAGACTAAGACTAAGACCAAACTAAAAAAAAGCTGATGAAATTAACACTGGTTCCATGTTTAAAAACCAAGAAAAATAAGTACATGAATTTACATAGAGTACAGCTGGTGCCAGTCCAGTTTATGAAATGTGGTCTGATTGTCGGTGGGGGCGTTTTTCTGTATGTGTGAAGGTGGAAGTGTGTGGCTGGAGCGTGTGGCCCGGGGTTTAAATTCAATTCAAAAATACTATACTTTAAAAGGGAAATTAAACAATTTAAATGGGCCGGGTAAAATAATATTTGGATAGGATGTGAGCATCGGGCTAAAGAGGAAACAACCGTTTTCACAGCTCTGGGAAAGAAGCTATTTCTAAGTTGATTTGTTCTGGATTTAATGCAGGTGAACCATTTTTAAGGATTGGTATAAGCATACATTGACCAGGTGGTCGGGATCTCTTCATAGCCTGTACCATGCAGCGTTTAAACCATACTATCACACGAGATGCTTCTTATCATGGCGCTTTAGAAGCTTACTACTCAGGAACATTAAGTTGTCCACATGCTCCATAACTGTACCTTCATGTAGACGCAGATACCTCCTTGATGGAGCACCTTCTCTGTAGTGGGTCTCCTTGTTTGTTATGGGTGATATGGACGTCTGTAGTGCTAACTAGGCAGCATCATTTGCAGAGTGACTGTCCTGGTAATAGCTGTTAAGCATGTGACACATGATGGTCCCACTGCATATACACCTTATGATGTATGCTCCCTTTATGCATAGCTCGTCATTGTGTTTTTTTCAACCATTTTTGCTTCTCTTCAGGCCCTGTTAAAGGCCATTCTTTCTATTCATCTGTATGCTTGTAAGCTTCAAAGACGTTCTTATCCAGCCAGGTTTCAGTGAAGATTGCCATCCAGCTTCCCCTTTTAAAAGAGATCATCGTTGGTCCAATCTCATCCAATTTAAGAATATGTGATGCTCGCCCCGTTTATGTTGTCTACTCCCAGTCCCCCATTTCCTAGGCCACAGAGGTGGAATGTTAAGATCTGCAATAAGGGTAGAATAAAATCCAGATTAAAGTGTCCATAAACTTAGGGTTTTTCCCCCAATCCCAGGAGATTAGTTCATCAGTCCCAGATTAAGGCTTCAAGTCTCTGAAGTCATGTATGAATATCAATCTAAATCAATGGATGTTATTTGCCAAATTTTTGTTTGAAAATCGAGATCAACTTCACAAGCTATACATCCACCTGATCAAAGAGGCTTCTTCAGTTCTAACTAGTGTTGGGGAGCATAGATAAATATACTGTAGGTGTAACAAAGAATTAGGGGGGGCAAAAGGTGGCTCTGATCCCTCCCATTGGACTGGACATACTTACAAAGCCCTTTAACAAACAAGATTCCCCTCCCACCAGCCCTCATCTGACACTTCAATGAGGCACGTGACTGAAACCCCTCTGACGAGGGATTTAAGGATCCATCAGAACCCCCTAACGACATCCCCCAGGAGACCTCCATGCTCCTACTATAAGAGCGCGAGAGCTACGCGAGTCCATTTGTCCTCGTGCACGCTCTGTTTAAAAGTTGCTATTCTCATAGTTCATACAAGCTTACAGTGTCTGAACGTCCACCCTAACCCCTAAATCACTATACAGAGCGGGGACTATATGGTGGACTTTATATCGAACCCTGTTAACTGAATGTTTAGACAGATGATCATTGCTTTTTGCTCCCTGCTGGCCACATAACTCCTCCTCCACCATGCAGTGCCTGTGCCATCTTTTTTCTTGGTCGCCGCTGTTGGATAGCAACAGCCTATGGCAACAACAGGTCACTAAGACGGCGAATCCCATAATGCTTTCCAAGGAGAGCTCTCCGTGCAAAGCCTTCTGGGATATATCTGCCTCAAATGAGGCCTTTCTGTTCTTCTCGTGCACTTCGTAGACACTTTGCGTATACTCTCAGCCATTTTCAAAGAACCACGGTGAGAAAGGTGAGTTTCAATGACTGTTTGAAACTGTAGCTCACCACAGATATGCGCCACTGAAAAAGCGAGTGCGCAGAAAAAGATAGCTAACGGGACGAGCACATAGGACGGCCATACGTAAACATATCACCAGAATGATTGACAATTAGGAGGACCACTTATTTAGATGATCCACCCGGAGATAAAACATTGTCCTCTATAGCTATAATTCGATTTTTTTGTTCGAACAATTTAAGAAAAAGTAAATAGATTTTTTGTATAACGGCGCAATTTTGGCTCGCTGGAGCTTCCGTAGCTGTAGTATTACTCCCACTGTGCAGTTTGGCAAGAGATAATCCTCGCTACCATGAGAATGGGAAGTTAGTTCTGAAAAAAGGAATACAATCATCCATTGTTTGGAACTGGTTTAGTTTTACCGTGACAGAGATGGAATAAGAAACCTCACGATGCAACATTAGCATAAAAGCAGTCCCAGTTAAAGGTTGCAACCCCGAACAAACCAACAAACCTCAGCTATAAGCCTAGGCTCGAAGGTGATGAAAACAAACATACCAAACATCAACCGAAAATGTTCCTGGAAGCTAGGGTAATTATTAAGACAGTTAGCATTAGCTATAAGAATGGGACTTTTCTGATGGTGAAAAACTGACTTTATTTTGCAATTTTCTCATCATAGAATGTTTTTGTTACAAATATGCTGAATTACTTTTTTATCTGAGGCACCTTAAGGACAAATGGAACATAAACAATCAAAGATTGGACTTATAGTACAGCCTCAGGCATGCTTCAAAGATAAGTTGAATCTGTATTTTAAAAATTCTGAATTATTACACTGCTATATCTTTATTAATTGTGCTTTGGTGCTCATGGTGTCCATAAAAGGAACTTGGTGCTTGAATTGTGGATAATGTCTAATGGTAAAAGTTTAACCGCTGGTATTTTCAACCGTACTGCTGTGTTATATCTAAATATGCACAACGGAACGCCGGCAATTGGGTTGATGTTACAAGGTTTTGATAAGTAGGGGGGAAATTACGTAATTCGAATTAAAAATAAAAAAAATCTTAGGTGTTATTTTTAGGCCAGCCGCACCGCAAACATTACAAAAAAATTGCTGGTAAAGATTCTCAGTCATCCAGGTCATAGTCATTCCAAGAAAATAAAATGAAAAACCATTCACTTGACTTTGTTTCCAAGTTTTAAGACGTTTTGCTTCTCATTCAAATGTCAGGAAAAGCGTTGAATCTGAGGTTTTGAGCTATTGTATAAAACCTCGAACTCAACACTATTCTTGACGTTTGAATTGAAAAAGCTTCCTGGATGGGAAGGCAAACGTCTTCAAAATTGGAAACAACGTCCAGTGGATTGTTTTTCCATTTTCTTTTTTGGAATTACAAAAAAAATCCCAGAAATGCTGATATTAAAATAATGATGCTTGAGCCTTCAAAGAAACAAACTCCTTACCTGTGTCATCTTTGTGAAGTCCAGGACAGGTCGGGCGCAGGGCCGGTCTGGATCCCGGCGCCTCTTCAGACCCGGTTTAAGCAGTAACAGATCGCAGGGCTGAGAGTGGCACCGCGGCAGTTGTGGTGGGAGGCAGCGCCGAAGAGAAGACGGCGTGCTGCAGGCAGAAGAGGGGGAGGGGGGAACCGGCCCCCCTGCAGCTGCTCCAGCAGTTGTGGCGAAACCCTGTGAAGGTGCCGTCACCTGGCTTGGTACAGGAGGCGGAGGGAGGAAGGTCGAGGCTGCAGAGTCTCTGATGAGCACCGGTGAGAGGGAGAAGCGCCTTTGAGGAGGGGGAGGCGGATGCAGAGGGGAGGGTGAAGACGAGCAAGAGGAAGGAGATGGGAAGAAGCAGCAGCAAGCTCCGCCCCCTGCCGCTGCTTCGCTGGGGTCCCAGGGGAAGCTCCATGGCAGTGGGGAGTCCGGGGACAGCGCTAAGCTGAAAAAGGTGGGGCTTGAAGAGGAGTGCAACGACGAGTTCAGAGACGAGCTAGGAGCACGTAGCGGACAGGCTCCGCCCCCAACCACTGCCATTCCTATACCCCCCGCCCCCACTGCCACCCCTCCCCCTGTGACCCCTCCACCAGCTCCACCGTGGCACTGCTGGCGACTGACTGGGGTCCAGACCCGAGAGGCACTCGGCCGCCATGTATAGCGACACCGCGATAGGTCCTCGGGCACCGACAGGGAACGGCAGTGCCGTTTAGGGGGCGGTGGAGGAGGTGGAGGGAGTCCAGGACCTGGGGGGGGCCCTGTCGCTCCAGAGAGGGACAGCTCGGATGCTGAGGTGCTGGGCACCAGGGGCCGCTGATGCTGAGACTGAGAGGGGCCCCCCTCCAGGGGGTCGCTCCCCTCCTGCAGGTGAGCATCGGGGGGCACCAGGGGCACAGGGCCTGGGGGGAAACTAGAGCTCAGTAACCCCCCCTGCAGGCTGGTCTTAGAGGGAGGGCAGAGCTGCCAGTAGCTGCTCTCTGAGGAAACACAAAGAAATCTCATGTGAATAAATATCCTCCTTCTAAATCCACATTTAATCAGAAATATTCGTCCCCAGATCACAGAGGCTCTGCTTTAGGAGAACCGGGTCAGAATCATGTGTTACCCACATAATGTTGTGTTTTTAGAACCCACTATGGAAAACCAACTAGGAATAATCCAAGGAGATAAAAAAATAAATAAAAATTTTCTTAGCCCATAGAAAAAAGATAAATCAGAACAGCATGAAGTGCCTTTGTCCAAAATAACAAAAACAAAACAAACAAAAAAAACAACAACACTAAACACTCACCAGGCATCAAGCCATCTGGGGGCCAGCACTCTGTGAGGGTTTTCGGGTCCAGCAGGGACTAAAATAAAAACAACAATGTGATATTTACCTAAGATCTCACAAAGATCTGAACGTCCAATTTTGAACTTGTTGAGACACTCACCAGGTGGTAGTCCCCTGGCTGAGCAGGGTCGCCAGCCAGAGTCTTTGTCCTCAGGCTCTCCACCAGCAGCGAGACCACAGCATGGTGGCAGGGGGTGAGGTGGGAGGGGGGCAGGGAAAAGGTGGGTTCAGGAGGGGGTAAGAACAGGGAGGAGAGAGGGGGAGGAGGAAGAGGGGAGGAAGAACCGTGGACGTCTTTTTTTAATTTCGGTTTGGTCTGTGGCAGTAAAAAAGGGGCGGGGCTTACAGCAAAGACTCCGCCTCCCTACCCCCTCAGGTCCATGCAGCCTTACCCACTAGCACAAGGGCATTATCAGGAAGCGGTTAGCCTGAAGACGAAAGAAGAAGAAAAGGTAGGAACTTAAGAATCAATCTGGAAGCTTATAAGAGTATCTTAAAGGCCTAGATTATCACATTAAGAGTACATGGTAAGCTGAAATTGCTAGCTTAAGCTCCATTACAGTCACAGGTAACAGAGCCCTGGGAGCCTGAGACAAAGGCGGAGCTTAAAACAAAGGGGTAACAACCAAAACTGGCATCAAAGGGGAAGAAACAGGGGGGACAACCCTAAAAGAGGTTCTCACCAGGGCCAGCAGTGTGGTAAACTGGACAATAGGAAGATTAATGATGCCTTCATGTGGCATCGTAATTATGGAAAACACTAAAACCTGACATGAACACCTATTCATGTCGTAACTTATAGCGGAAAGCTGGGGAAATTCTATGATACCAGAGTTGCTGAGACAAGGTAAACTTTCTTTGTGGCGACTACTGTGTTGTTTAACATCCTCTCCAGTTGGGTTTGGAGCCTACACAATGTGACACAATTAAAAAGGTATAGTGGAGGAGTTTCGCAATTATTTGAAAAGATCAACCCTCTCCACTGTAGAAAAAAAAAATGCACATGCACAATCCTGTACCTGATCTCGAGAGGGAACGTCTATTAAACGCACGCTTTGTTTAAAAGTTGCTGTTTGCATCGCTCATACAAGACTACTTTCCAAAAGAAGATATGCAATTTTTCCGCTATGTCAGACTCACCACAGGTAAGTCAAAATAGGGACGAGCACGTAGGACGGTCTTAGAGAAACATAACGGCAGAATGATTGACAGTTAAAAGGACCACTTATTTTGATGATCCACCCAGAAAAAGGACATCCTCCACTATACCATAAAAAAAAAAAAACACAATTTAAACTTGTGTAGTTTATAAAATGACTGTTAAGGGTGAATTATACTTCTACATCCGTATACATCAAATGTCACTTGGGTGTGGTTGCGAACCAGTTTTGCTGGTATGCTTCTGCAACGTCGGTCTGGGATTTCTAGGGTCGCACAGCAGTTTACCGCCAAAGCGATAGGGGAAGCCTATTCGAGAACTTGCGAGAACTTCTTCGGCGTTGGGAGTGTTTATTTTCCAAAACAACATGTCGGAGGCATCATACAAGTGGTTGTACTTCTGAACCTCCTTTCAGCGTGGTTATCCATTGTTATTACTCCTCGGTTTTTAAAAATGGCGCGCCCCGGCACCGAATAGAGAAGGACAACCACACAGACAGCCAGAAAGGCATACCAAGGACCAATCACAGCTGCTTTTTGTCTGTGTGGGTTTGCGACCATCCGACATGTAGTCAGGATTTTTTTTAGGTGCCAAGCGACGGTTGTAGAACCTCTGCGTGGGGGGTGTGGTCGCGCACAGAGACAGATTTGACGGTAGCAGAGGCTATGCATCAGAAGCATAAATTGGCCTTTATTGTTTGATTTGATCAAATTCTCGCCAGCAGTCAGTCAATGAATACCCTTCTTCTTGTAGAAGATGAACCAGGAATTCTGTTACCGTACTCTTGCCCAAGTAGGAGGTAGGATAATCTTTTGAGCCAACATGTTTCTCTTCCCTACCACAATGAAAGCACTTGAACACAACGCGCTGGTAATTTCCAATTTACAAGTGGTAAGGGTCATCTTTACCTGAACAGATGAAGGCAGCATAACAAGAAGCTACCACAGACAGGGCTAGGGGGCTGGCTTAAAAGAGGTCATCATCGACCAATGGGGTCAATGATACCAGGGTGGGTAAACGGGGGTAATTAGGCTAACAGGGTAGCACAGAGGTCTTCAACAGGGAGTCCGCGGTCCCTAGGGGGTCCACGGAGGTACTGCAGGGGGGGGTCGCGTAAGTTTTGGTTGATTAGACTTCTTTTTATATTCCCCCCTGCAATTTTTTCCACTAATCTAAATGTCTTTAAATCCATATTAACATGAATTCCACACACTGTAGTAAACAGATAAATGGAGGCAGGAGATGTCTTTCAGTCATCAATGCACACATTCAGTGACACACAGGAGCTCTTTCAAGCTGGACACCGTTTCATTCAAAACACCTGTCCCATCAACCAGGAATCAGAAATACTTGAATAATCCCAGGGCCAAATTACTTTCGAAAACATTACTCTATCTGTAATAGAGTGACTATAGGACCAGTTTTATACAATATATATAATTAGGGGGTCTCCGCTCTATCTCGCCATCGGTTTGGGGGTCCTTGGCCTGGAAAACGTTGAAGACCCCTGGGGTAGCAGGAAGAGGGGTAACTGATCGGAGAGGAAATCACTGCAGGGGCAAAGAAAGGGGCGACTAGAGAAGGGGTAACAAGGGTTGACGGGGTGGCTGAAAGTGGGGTATTGGGGGCCGGTTTAACTGGGGGTAAAAAACATAGTCCTTAAAGAGAGTGGGGGAGTGTTGTCCTAGTGGTCAGAGCAGTATAACCGGTTCGATCCCTGAAATTTGCACTCTGGGTCCCTGAGCAAGACCCTTAACCCCACACAAGGGAGTGGTTTAAGATACATAGGGTCAATTTCTCCATTGAAAGTCAATTTCTATTCTAAAAATGGGAGGAGGTAACAGGGTGGTAACAGGTAACAGGTTTAAGAGATGTTACATTGCATTAGATAACACAGCTAGAAAAGTAGTAAAAATGGGGGTAGAGGATGATAAGCTCAGTCACAGACAGTGAGAGGGGCTTTCTGGAGGGTATCAGGGGCTAATGCTAGTGGTGTGGGGTGGATTAATGTGTCTAAAATATATATGTATATAGGGGGTAATAGAAGGGGTACCTTCAAAATGGTAACTAACTAGAGACTAAAGGGGAGCTAACGGTGCTGCATAGGAGGACTGATCGGGTAATGGGGGTCTGATAGGGGGGCTATCTGGGATTGGGTAACATAAACATGGAAGCTAACCGGACATAACGGCAGTAAACAGAAGCCTGCGGGCTAACAGCGGCACTGATTGAATAAACAACCGGCCGACATGAGGCGGAGATGTCTGGGTGATGATCAGCTACAGGCCTGCTCCCCCTCAGCCAGCCTGGATCATCACAACGGAGCCGCTGGCACAGACAGGCCGGCCTGTGAGCCCCCTGAGTGGGTGAAGGGGAGGGAAACACGGCTGGATGCTGCAGATGGATCTGAACCAGAACCGATCATGCAATCACCCCCCCCCCCTCCCTGTATGTCCCAGCGGCTGCTTACCTGATGCGGTGTCGAAGTGAGGCGGTTCCGGTCTGGTATTGACCCAGTATTACTGAAGAGCAGCGGAACCGAACCCTCCAGGATGAATCAAATAACGGATCTTTGTCGTTCTGACCTCCCGGTATCGCCCCACAGATCTGCTTTGGTTCTGGCCTGATGTTTCTTAATTATCCAACATATTGATGGAAACCCTGCGCGCACACGCCCGTGAGCGGCGGGCATTCATAAATAACATTTACGGTGCCAGGAGGAGGATGAGGAGGTGGAGGAGGAGCGATGCTTAATGCTTCATCGTCGACACCTGCTTCATATTTATTTATTTTTGCACTCATCCACCCTGCGCGGATCGCAAACAGTCGACAATCAAGTCAAAAATCCTGCAGAAACACGAAAAATAATCCAGCAGAAGGGAAAACAAGGCTGCGGCGCAGGGGATTATGGGGGGTGTAGTTTCTAGGCTGAGAGAAGCTTGTTTACAGCAGCAGCTCTGCTGTTTCTCTCTAACCTGCAAATCACAGTACAGCAGATTTACCCTCACCTTCCTGAAGCTGCACACCTCAGCCTCCAATGCAACCAAAAATAAACACTACAGGCAGGGAACATCCTATTATATATATAATATAAAAATAAGTTTTAAGAAGTTAATTGGGGGTTCTAAACCTCAAAAACGCTTGGACTAACATTAAATTAACCCCTCAGTTATTTTAAAAATTTCTTTTTATTTATTTATGGCTAAAACAAGTGAATAAGTGAGTTAATATATATATATATATATATATATATATATATATATATATATATATATATATATATATATATATATATATATATATATATATATATATATATATATATATAACTCCTGGATCTTTTTTTTTTTACCATCTGGAATCACATCACCAGTGCAGAGCTTGTTTAGCACTAGCTGCTCACAAATGCTTAGACATGAGCAATGGCAGAATACAAGTCATTTTTGGGCAAAAACCCTCCAGGACATCATGAAGTCATGTAGTAGATTGGAGTGATTATCCTCTTTAATAAACCCTGATGGTTTGGGACATCTGGAGGACAGAGGTACAGGGCGGCCAAGAGATCAGTCATCTTGATTCACCGTCTTTATAGAGTTACCATAATTCAGAGCATTTTATTTTGAGCTTTTTTAGGAAGAGCTTAGTGATGATCTGAGGATGTTCCACCACAAAGAGGCAGCTTTTCAAAGGAAGATCTGGGTCCGTACCTCTTTAAAATAAGTTATTCACAAAGTGCCCAATATAGCTCCTATAGTGAACTGCTGGATTATTCAGGAGGGCCTATAGTGACCAATAGTATGTGCTTTTTTAAGAGAGAAGATGGCAGAAATAGCTGTTTCAGTAATCCAGCACCCTAAAACGTTGAGTAAATGAGCACATAAACCTGTATAACATCATACAAGTATCATTACAAAATAAATAAATAAATAAATGTATAATACCCATAGGAGGAAATTCAATAGTTTTAGCAGCCTAGTAAATGAAAGTTGAACCTCTAATAAGGTACATTTTAGAAGTATTTATATTTAAAATTGTATTGATATAAAAAAAAGATCTATAAAATAGTATTACAAAAAAATGTAAATATTTACTGGCTGTAAAATGCTTTCGGGAATAAACATTAAAATATTGGAAAAAGTCAAAGAAAAAAGTATTTTTAATGAGTATAAATGAAAAGTTATATTCTATACCAGTAATTCCCAAAGTTGGGGTCCCAAAACCACTTCAGATGGTAGATCAGCAAGTATGGGGTCTCAAGATCCTCTAAAACATCACAAAGAAATGGACAAAACCAATTAGAGGTGGTCAAAGCGGTTTAGTTTAATACTATACCCATGGTTAATTGATTTTTTTCTAATGTTTGTATTTCAACCAACTGTTTGTCAATGAGTCTATCTGATGCTACTTTGTGGGTCAGAGCAGTAAAGTTTGGAAACCTCTGCTCTAGACAAGATAAACACTTTATACACAGAGGTTTAAAGAAGTTAAAGTATTTGCTGTTTTGTACATTGTGCATGCAAACCTGTCTCTTTGATTGCAGCGCTTCTCACATTCCAGATTTGTGTGGGAAAGCAGCAAGATTAACTGATCTTACTGGGCAAGACACCCCTAAGTCTCTGGTCCTGCTCTAATAAAGGTTTGCTGGTATAAAACCACTTGCAAACTAAATAGTGTAAAGCTAATCTACTGACCAGGTGCACATGGATTTTATATCTGTAAAATAGGTGGAACATCATGAGCAATGATGTTGCGACTTTGCATTATGATTATGGAGCATAAATGCTGTTCAGAATGTGCAAAATCAAAATCAAAACCTATTTTTACCAGCAACGTGATATACCAACCTGGAAAAAGATTGCAGGAACCATTACTGCAATCATGTTTAGCTTCTGTGAAAGCAGAGTAAAGTTGTATTAAAGGGCCTAGTCACATACTATGATCTTCAGACTTTCAACAATAGTTTGCACTTTAATTTGTTAATTTACAAAGTACTTTTTATATATTATATATATATAAAAGACCACATGAATATAATATTGCTCATCAGTGCGAGGAGCAAACGAGCCATAATCGTATGTCTATGAGAAAAGAAATTAAGCCGAGCCCGTTGGCACAGCCCAGTGGGGGTGCAAAAATAAAAAAAGAAAGGTCCCAGATTAAGTGTGAAAAATTACAGACCAAATATATGTGATGCCAAGAATCATAGGGCACAGGTAGTGCTTGGAGCACCATGCAAACACTAGTGTTAGCTGAAGTGGGAGCTAAAGCTATGGGAGCATTCAAACTTTGCTGCCAAGTTAATGCTTGCATACAATGCCTAATTAATGCAGATACCAGTGATAGCAACGCTATGCTTAGGCTCCTAGTTATAGTGATTTAGTCATTTTGTATACACAAGTGTAAACAAAAAGAAATTTCTTTTTTTTAAGTGCAGCCTTGAAAACAGTAAAAAAAAATGTATAAGTCAATATAAATCTACGACTATATTTACAGTTCAGACATTTTCAGTTTTTTATATTATATAATGCTTTATATGCATTATACTATTTTATATATTATGCTTTCTATGCATTATAGTGTATAAAGCTCGTGATATTCACTGTTTTTTCCAGTTTCCAACTTATAAGCTCTCAGCAGATGGCCCACAACAATGTAATTTTTTTCAAGCTAAGAAAAGGACAAAGTGAACACTATCAGAACAAATGAAATGGTGTTTCATTTGAAGATGAATATACAGGTGCTGGTCATAAAATTAGAATATCATGAAAAAGTAGATTGATTTCAGTAATTCCATTTAAAAAGTGAAACTTGTATATTATATTCATACATTACATACAAACTCATATATTTCAGATGTTTATTTTGTTTAATTTTGATGATTACAAATGACAACAAATGAAAATCTCAAATTCATCATATCAGAAAATTAGAATATTGTGAAAAGGTTCAAAATTGATGGCCCCTGGTGCCACACTCTAATCACCTAATTAACTCAAACCACCTGCAAAAGCCTTTAAATGGTCTTTCAGTCTAGTTCTATAGGCTACACAATCATGGGGAAGACTGCTGACTTGACAGTTGTCCAAAAGACGACCATCGACACCTTGCACAAGGAGGGCAAGACACAAAAGGTCATCGCTAAAGAGGCTGGCTGTTCACAGAGCTCAGTGTCCAAGCACATTAATAGAGAGGCGAAGGGAAGGAAAAGATGTGGTCGAAAAAAGTGTACAAGCAAGAGAGATAACCGCACCCTGGAGAGGATTGTGAAACAAAACCCATTCAAAAATGTGGGGGAGATTCACAAAGAGTGGACTGCAGCTGGAGTGAGTGCTTCAAGAACCACCACACACAGACGTATGAAAGACATGGGTTTCTGCTGTCGCATTCCTTGTGTCAAGCCACTCTTGAACCACAGACAGCGTCAGAAGCGTCTTGCCTGGGCTAAAGAGAAACAGGACTGGACTGCTGGTGAGTGGTCCAAAGTCATGTTCTCTGATGAAAGTAAATTTTGCATTTCCTTTGGAAATCAAGGTCCCAGAGTCTGGAGGAAAAGAAGAGAGGCACTTCATCCACGTTGCTTGAAGTCCAGTGTAAAGTTTCCACAGTCAGTGATGGTTTGGGGTGCCATGTCATCTGCTGGTGTTGGTCCATTGTGTTTTCTGAGGTCCAGGGTCAACGCAGCCACATACCAGGAAGTTTTAGAGCACTTCATGCTTCCTGCAGCTGACCAACTTTTTGGAGATGCAGATTTCATTTTCCAACAGGACTTGGCACCTGCACACAGTGCCAAAGCTACCAGTACCTGGTTGAAGGACCATGGTATCCCTGTTCTTAATTGGCCAGCAAACTCTCCTGACCTTAACCCCATAGAAAATCTATGGGGTATTGTGAAGAAGAAGATGCAATACACCAGACCCAACAATTCAGAAGAGCTAAAAGCCACTATTAGAGCAACCTGGGCTATCATAACACCTGAGCAGTGTCACAGACTGATCGACTCCATGCCACGCCGCATTGCTGCAGTAATACAGGCCAAAGGAGGCCCAACTAAATACTGAGTGCTGTACATGCTCATACTTTTCATGTTCATACTTTTCGGTTGGCCAACATTTCTATAAATCCTTTGTTTTTATTGGTCTTCAGTAATATTCTAATTTTCTGATATGATGAATTTGAGATTTTCATTTGTTGTCATTTGTAATCATCAAAATTAAACAAAATAAACATCTGAAATATGAGTTTGTATGTAATGTATGAATATAATATACAAGTTTCACTTTTTAAATGGAATTACTGAAATCAATCTACTTTTTCATGATATTCTAATTTTATGACCAGCACCTGTATCATTTTCTAGGCCCCTTTAAATAATGGGCATATTATGGATTGTAACATTTTGGGTCAAATGCAGATTGCAAAGGGAGTTGGCAAACTATTCCATTTTAGAAAACTGAAAAACTTAGTTTCTGACCAATGTTTAAAGCTACGATTAAAGAGCATCCAATGGTTCGGCTTGAGGGTGTGCAATAGGAGCTGCACAGGATTAAAAATACTCTGGTCTGGTTGATGCAAACAGCACAGGGGATTGTATGCTATCGGATCTGGACGGTTATGTTCCATTAATCCAAGGAAAAAAAAAAAAAAGGAGTATTGCTAAAGAACCCACCCACCTGGAGAATGCACCATGGATGCAGTTTCATCACAAAAACAGCATTAAATCCAGACCAAATATTTCACTGAATTTTTTTACCCCCTCCTGACAGACTGCTCTGGCACTTGCTGTACTACAAGATGAATATGAACAATTTTTCCTTAATCTTGTTTTTCCTGTACGTTAATTTACATTCTAAACCAGGCGTCTCCAAATGAATCAAACAAAATCCTTGACAGATTCTAAAATGCTGGCAGTTGAGTGTCCACATTTTGAACTGATGAAATTGTGATTTGAGTTGTTCAGCGTTTGAGAAATAATAAAGTTCTATAAAATAACTATGAGTAAACAAAATGAAGTGCATTACATTTAAGCACGTTAAATTTTGGCAATTTTAATCACAATTTACACAATTGTATCCATTTTAGATATTTTCTCTGTGGATGAGCATTGTATGTGTGTACGCATAAATAAAAAAAAACAGAATAACCCTAGCAAGAGTGTCAACTTAACATTTTCAGTATAAAAGGTTCCATCTGGTTAGAGTTCTACTTTAGAACCAGCTCTGGAGCTTAAACTCCTTTTTAAATTTTAGCCACTTTAACTCTGAAAGGTTGTACATCTTTGACCTGCAGTCAAGAACGACAATGTAATTTTAATCAAAAATAAAGCTGTAGAAGAAAATACTAAACTTGGGTTCAACTCCAAGTGCTCTGTAGGAAAAAGTCAGGGAGGGGGAGCAAAAAAAAAAAAAAAAAAAGAAGTTTAATGGCAACCACATTCAAGGTCAATTAAAGAGTAGATCAGTGTCTGGGTTTCTAACTTTTTATTTACATCTTTATTAATCACATTTCACTTTACTTAAAGCAGCAGAGAAGTAAAATAAATCAGAAAACAAAGTGGCAGCACCCCCCCATCCAATCAGGAGCTTTGTTTTTTAAAAGGAAACATGACAACGAGTAAAGGTTGTAGGTGAGGGACCGAGGAACAACCAAGTGACAAACAGGACAAGTGCGTGACTTTCCCCTCAGTGCAGGACTTGGATGTGATGCAGGTGACAAGTGCTCAGTTTGATAGTTAAAGTAAAACAAGTGCAAACAAAGAGTCCAGCTCCCTCCCGCTGCCAGAACGGGTCAGAAGGGCAGACGGAGCTCAGATCAGGGACTGATTACGTCCCTGCTGTCAGTGAAGTTGGTGACGTTAAAAAGACGAGTTGGATGCTCCAGAAACACATTGAAAAATGTTCAGAGTCAGCAGATAAAGACGCCACGGCCAATTATGTCAACAACGGGTCAAACTGGGCTCATGTTGGATTGGATCACTAGTACGGATTCCAGAAGAGCTGGTCAGAAAACACGGGAACCTGCTGGTCATCTGAGCCGAAATCTAAGGGAAAAAAAATAAAATAAATGACCAGAGGAGATGGGGTTGCATTTAAACAGCAGAGGTGGTGCTGATCCAACTTAAAACTGGAAAAAAAAAAAAAAGGAAAATTATGGAAATCATTTTTAATCTGCTTCTTGAAAAATCTAAGCAGTTTTATCATTTGTAAAAACGTGTCCAAGTTAAACTTCAGTTTTTTCCAAACCCTCAAAACCTTCTCTGCTGCCATCTAGTGTTGAAAAATCCTAACTACAGTTTTTAATTCTTGGCAAAGGGTGAAAGAACAATTTGCCCATTGGTCCAAACTTGACATGTATGCATCATTTCTGGATCTTGTTATAGAAAAATAACCTTTATAGTCATTTATATTAAAATAAAGGTTACATCTCCATTTAAGCGAAACTTTCAGAATCAGTTAAACAGGAGCCGTTTTGTAATGAGCGTCACCTCACCTGAGGTATGGTCGGTTTCCATCAGGAGCCGGAGCCAGTCATTCATGCCATCATCAGGGGTCAGCTGACTCCTGTGAGTGTAGCTGAGACCAGGAGGAGAGCGAAGAGGCCGGCGGCTCATCTCCACCTGCTGATGAAGGAGAGAAGCTGGTTGGTCATTCAGACCGAACAGTTAGATATGAAGTCACTCAAACCATCTGTATGCCTAATCTGCTACAGATTCAGACTGGATAAAGGAGCAATGACAATTTAAAACACAAAGAATCTGATTTCTAGCTGGGTGCAGCAAACAGCTCAGCTGAATACAGACTCAAAAAAAAAAAAAAAAAAAAAAAAAAAAAAAAAAAAAAAACACACCACACAGACCAAAATTCATGGGGGACAATATGACCGATATAAGACATGAATTAGCAGGTAGCCACAATTCTAAGTCTATTAGAGGTTTAGTTCTCAAGCTTCTCTGTAGCATTTAAACAAAGAAACCACAGATTCTGACGTCCTGCTCTGATATGTTGGTTACTGAGCAGCATTACCGGGGACAATGGGATCATCCAGGATCCAGGAACCTCAATGGACAGAGGAGACACCGAGGAGGCTTCTGAGGCTGCAGGAGTTTCCTCTCTCTGCTCATCTCCTCTGTCCTCACACAGGTCCGAAGTCATCTTGGCCAGCTGACTCTGCCTGCACAGACGAGTAAATGGGAGGAATTCATTTCCAGAGTCTGGCTCATCGCCATGATGGTTCTAGATAAGCTGCATTAGACTGCAGCTTTAACAGTCCAAATTTCTGGGAGAACCAATAAGACAAAGTTTTAATGGTGAAATGTTTCAACTTAATATTCAGTGAAAGTCTTTAAATGAGTTCAGGAGCACTGAAGGCATCCTGGATCTGCCACTAGAGGGCAGCAGACAGTCAAGCTGAAACAGCTTGATCAGAACCATGAGTTAACAGCAGGCTCCACCTACAGCTGCTCCACTGGGTCTGGCGTGTCCGGCTCATCACTGGTTGGTGGGTCCCACATGTGCAGTGCCCGCCTCCACAGACGGACTTGCATGTCCCAGGAACGCCGGCTGTATTTGCGGTACTTGTTGGGAGTGGATGGGTGGAGCTTAGGATCCCGCAGGTGTCTGAGGGTAAGAGCAGTTCATCAGTGGGGGGGCCTATGGGCTGTAACGCCAGGTGCAGATCAATCATCTTACTTGGGGACCTGTTGCACATAGTTCTGGTAGCCGCTGGTGTTCTTGCCATACTGGATCTGTTTCTGACGCCGCTTCAAGACCGCCGCATTGGTCTCTGTGTTTGCTGGATCTGGCAAGCGGCTATAGCAGCGAGAGAAAGTTGGCCTGAAAGACATCAATATCTAAGCTACAGAAATGTTGAGGAAAACTTCAGCACAGCTTCAGCTCTGACCAGTCACAGTAAAGGCCAACATTTCAGTCAGGCTGATTTTAATGCATCCTGACTGGAGGATATGAAGATAAACTCTTTAGTGTCTGCTTCTCCGGCAGAAATGTCCTGAAGCTGATCAGTCAGGATCAAGAATAGATATGAACTTCTCACTGACCTTTTACCATCAACATCATCTGTCCCCACAGCCACACTGCTGTGGGACACTTTGAGGATGCAGCGCTCCAGGATGGATGGCCTGCAAGAAAAATGCTCTATGAAAGGGATGAAAAACTGCTGTAATTAGACCAAACATCGTCATTCTAGTCATTAATTCAAACTAGGGTGTGAAGACTGTAAGGTTTGATTTAAAAGTTTGTGCCAAGTCCTGATCTACAATCATTTCTAAATATTGAAGGAAAACCAGACTTCAGAAAAAGGTTTATGAAACCCAGAGGACCTGTTAATCCAGACAACTTTAGGAATTTACAGATAATTCTGGATAACAAAGAGAATGTCAAGAGCTGAGATATTAATTTGGAAAGAAAGTTCTCAGTTATCCAGTTCTTGCAGAAAAGGTTTCAGCTGTTCATTTAAATCAATGAAAAGAAACCTGCGCGGTTTGCTCCCTGTTCGTTCTCGTCCTCGAGGTCCACTGGTAGCAGGAGGAGACGGGATTGGAGATGCATTACTGTTAAAGACAGAAAGCTGTTAATACATAAATACTCAATAGTGTTTCCAAGTTTTCAAATCATTTAGGGGAGCAAACAAAAAACGCATCCTTTAAAAATGACAATTTAATAATATGAAAACGTATTAAGGTGTGCCGCCCCCTAGAGGGGGTAAAAATACAATAAAGACTTCCCACTGGATCTAGACCTGAGAAAAAACACTGCTCACACATTTCCATCTCACCCCGATCCCTTATAAGGCAGGGGATCAGTGACCAGGTGCTCCACCCACCTGACAAGGCTGTCATAGACAGAACTGCAGCCGGGGAGGAGCCATGGTTCAGGGGCGGAGCATCCTGAGGAGGGGGGCAGCAGGTCAGGGAAGCCGTTCCACATGGCAGCCGACCAACCCTTGGCACAGACACACGACCAGGGGCTGTAAGAGAAACTGGGGCAGGAACAGGACATCAAATGAGAGTTTTAGACAAAAAGTTTTAGAAAAGAGTTGATTATTCTGGTCCTTCAATGTCAGCATCCTACTTAGCAGAACTTTGCGACTGACTAGAGCAAAGTCAGCCTCTTTAGGTCTTGAGTAGAGGTGCATAAAAATGTGTTGGGAGTGAACCTGACTCCTCTGTTTTAGGTCCAGGAAACACCAAGTTTTTGATGGACAGCAATGAAAATATTTGCAGAGCACGCCCCACGGCAGAAGTTTTCCTTTATCAATCAAATAACCAGAACTCAACTGTTCAGCCTCCATAAACACAACTAAAGTCCAGTTAAAAACCATCTCCCTCAAACTGTACAAATGAAATTCAGATATTTGGAATTATGGAGAGAAAGCAGTAAACATTCAGAGTGCTGTTAGATCAACTAAAAAAGCCTGCCTTTTAAGATTTCACAAGTCTCCCTACAGGTCAGCAAGTTTAATGGATTTGTTTTCTTGCTTTAATGTAACGAATCCCTGATAGAGCCCTTTGAGGTTCCAAGTTAAAATATATGCAACTGCAGTCCAAGAGCAAAAGTTATGAAAAGGTTCATGGCCCTGTTATGACAAATGTATGTGTTAGTAGATCATTACAGTGCCTTACGTTTGCTTATTGTTTCTCTTTTGTAAATTAAGCATTGTGTGCATTTACAGAGCTTTACTGGTGGTACGATAGATCTCGTGTTCAGCAAAGCAATGGGCTAAGTCAGCAGCTCCCAGCAATGTTATGAAAATATTAAAGTGGAAAATTCAGTGTGATAAAAAAAAAATAAAAGTATTTGATTCCAAGGGACAAGGCAGATAGGAACGATAACAGTATGAACGTTGCTGTTCAACGAAGCAGAGCTGTGGAAGTATTGGATTGAATTCAGATGAACATTTGAGTAAAGCTCCCTACCATTACTTATATTAGCAATAATATCGTCAGTCTCTACAGACCAAGTTCAAACATATGTTATAGAACTAATGCTTCAGTAGATTTTTTATTTTTAATATAAAAAAAGTATGGGTTGGTCTGATCACACCCAATTGTCACTTTTAGGGCCACAATTAATAATGTAAATCGATTAATGTCAATTTTTTTATGAGACAATAATTTGATAACAAAAGGTTCCGTAAAAAAATATTTTTTAATTAAATTAAACCGGTGAAACTAAAACCTTTCCACTTGAGGATATCTGGATGGAGAATATTGATAGATGAATTTTTTTTTTATCATCTTAAAATGCAAAAATGTTAACTTTTTTCCCCCCTTAAAATTTTTGTATAATTACTGCTCTAAGTGGGACACTCCAGCAGCTAGACATGTTTTAGTTAACCAGTCGCTCCAGTAAACGATTAATCGATTACTAAATTTGTTGATGATTTTAGTAAATCAATTAATTGTTCAAGTCCTAGTCACTTTACCATGAGGCATGAAAGTCAGCTCCATCATGTAGCTGGGGTAAATGGAAAAAAAAAAAAAAAAAAAATGCTTTCTGGTTTTTTCCTCTAGTTCCAGTAGATGGCGCACCAGTCATGTCTACTCATTGTGCCAGGTGCTAGAATTCTATTTGGGCTCATTAAGGAATATTAAAAATGGTATTAGGATAGAAACCTGATACAATCACCCTTACTTTATAATTGTTTCTTTGAAGGCATATGAGAAAATGCCCCTTTAACCAATCAAACACAGACCTCCTGTAGCAGAGACTGAACAGGGTCTGCATACTTCCCCATCTACAAAGTGTGAAACCAGTCTGCAAATCTCCAGAAATTTTAATAGTGCCAAGTTGCTCTCACCACATGAACCTCCCGCATACCCTTAAATGAAACTTTATCTCAAGACAGCAGTTAGTCTTTTGTTGTACAGTTTTTCCTTCCACTTAACTTTCCATTACTGCGCTTGGAAGCAGCACTTTTCAGTGATGTCCATTTGGAAGTTCCTGCTCTGAAGGCTGTCAGGTCAAGTCTTCCTCATGATTGCATTTGTGTCAATTTCATAGATCCAAGATAAGATAAAATTTTTTGGTAAGGATCCTAGTTTAGCTTGCTCTTAATCCACACCCCAAACCCTAACAGCAAACATAAGGAAAAATCAAACAATATGCATATATCTGGACCAACAGGTCAGAAGTTGACAGTAAAACTAATATCTGGGTTATAAACAGATTTTCAAGAGCAGAAAAAAAAATGCAATTTAAAAAAAAAAATACTTGTGTGTTTAGAATATTGGCTGCCTGTTTGTTCTGGTTCCTACCTGCAGGACATCAGCGGACTCTGGGCTGCGGGTTCCACTCCGCTGGTAGACATTTCTGTTCTTCGCTGCAGATAGACACGCCATCATTCGGCTTTCTCTGCCTTATAATGAGGAGCACCTGTGGCAGTGGGGGCAAGGGGCGGGGCCACAAGCTCATCTATCATACACCTGGACATTTCTAATTTAAGTGCCGTTATTCTTCTAAAACTAGAACAACACATGCGTTGTCTTTGTGATTCAAAATAAGAAAAAAAAATAGCACAGAGACTTAATTTAAAAGAACTAGACACGAAAACATATTTTCAAAATAACTTTTTTTTCTATTTATTTATCATTTTCTCGCTGCAGAGCGCTTGCAATCTGCAGGGGGCGTTGTTCTTCACAAAATTAAATTTTCCCTTTCAGCCATTTCCGGTAACAGATCAAACAAGATGGCGTCTAGCAGTGGGGTGAGTTTTTTTGTTCCGTAGAATAACGGGTTTATAATCATAAATTATCAAACACTTTCCGGTCTCATAGTACAGTTAGCGTTATTCTTTTAACCAGAGCCGCTTGTAGCTCCAACTTCACCCTTTTAAACAACCTCAGCGCGATGATGCTACCGGCTAACAAGCTAACAGGCAAATCCCCCAATATTAATAACACAGTATTATAGGCTATTATGAAGAATATATACTTGTCAATACAGGTCGTAGTTGATATAATAGTCGATATCAGTTGTTTGTGAGTATCTGTTTTCTAGAGAAAACGATAAAAACGCCTTTGTTTATTAGAATAGATTGTACCTCCTACAAATAAACTTCCGGTCTGTCAAAATAAAGCTCGTCATTTGTACTAACGCGGCAACATGTTTTCCAAACTAGTTGTGCATTCCGATGGGGAAACCTCACGATAGATTGTACATCATTTAGAAATTATAAACCGTATCTATTCTTCTTATTTAAGTGTACTTTTTGTAAGAAATTTCACATATACAATCAACGAACAAGCTGGTTGGAAAATTATAAGTAATGTCCAGATGATTATTAAAACCTTTGACCAAATTTTGTTGATATAGTTACTTTTCTAGGCTTTGCTATTGTAATATTTTTTGTACTTTCTCCTATTAATAATTATGGCTAATAATGAGCTATAATGAAAACCTAAAATTCTCTGTCAGAAAATGTCTGTTTTAAAAGGAGAACTAATATATATTAGATCTTTAGGCGTTTCAATAATCATCTGGACATTACTTATAAATAATTTGTCAACCAGTTTATTAAACGCTTGTTCCTAGATCTAAGATAGTTGCCTTGTCACTGCAAAATATTTTTTTTTGCCAAACTGTACCCAGCTAAAATATTATTGCATATTTGATAAGAATTCATCTTTTTCTAGTAATTCACAGTAAATGTAATCTAAAGAATAACAGATCCAGTGTTCTGTCAGATGGGCATATCCATAGTCAATACGCATGCACAAGATGTCAGATTTGCATTTATCCCTTTATTTTTGTACGAAAAATACACTTTAAATTACCTCAACGGTCATGTAGGAAAAAAAGTATTTAAGGTCAGATCGCAATAAAAAAAACACAAAGTATGTATTAAAAAGAAAATGTCCATGTTACTAAAGGGATACATGCCCGTTGAGGTAGTTTAAAGTTTATTTTTCGTGCTAAACTAAAGGGATAAACGGATATTGACTATGGGTATGCTGGTCTGACCGGGTATGCTTATCTGACAGAACACCGGTAAAGAAATGTAAAAGCGGGATACTCGGTAGGCTTTTGGTGTTTTACTCGTTTTCTATTCAACAGTCTGGAATCTTTTGTATTTTAAAATTTTGTATCTTCTCTTCCAGTCAAATAAAAACGACTTCCGTCGAAAATGGGACAAAGACGAGTACGAGTCCCTCGCTCAGAAACGTCTGGCAGAGGAGAGGGATCTCGAAAAGAGAGATGGTGAGGAGAACGAGGAGAACCTGCTGAGTTTTCATTTAATATAATAGATTCTACTGATTTATTTGATGCATCTTTTCCAGGTTTAATATAAATTTCTATTTTGTTTTTCCTGATGAAAGCATAATTTCTTATAGATTTTTATATTTGACAAGAAATGAGTGAGCTCTAAAACTGTAAGTCTATTTATCAGGGTTGCGGTTAAAAATGTATGATATTTTAATCTGCCGTTCCTCTCAGGAAAAATTGCTCCACCGGTCAAGCGGGAACTCTTGCGTCACCGAGACTACAAGGTGGACCTGGAGTCCAAGCTGGGGAAGACCATTGTCATCACGAAGACAACTCCTCAGGCGGAGATGGGCGGGTATCTAGCTTTCTAACAAAATAAAACAAATCTGAAACTGTTTTTAGAGATGAGCCTGTTTTTGAAGCTGTCTGTAGGAAATGAGGCTCAAAGCTAGGATCTTCTCTCATTTCCTCCTCTTATGTTTCAGGTATTACTGTAACGTGTGCGACTGTGTGGTGAAGGACTCCATCAACTTCCTGGATCACATCAACGGAAAGAAACGTGAGTCCTTATCTATCCTAATATTTAACCAGCTAACTGGTTTCTGCGCTGCTGTTAACCTGGAAACAAAATTCATTTTGTCACAACCAAAATACAATACTGATTTTTTTAAAACATGAGTTAATGAAACACATGTTGATAAAAAACAAAATTAACATAAAAGCCATAAAGACGATTTTTAAACATCTAAACTGAATACATTTGTTTTCAGATGTTAGTATGGAAACACCTTGAATCATTTATTTAGTGGTCTATTATTATTGATTATGTGGTCACGACTATTTGCTCAGGTAGAATTAAACCAAATTCTCAGTGAAACATGAAGGCAGCAATAAAATCACGATCACACAGTGAGGGGTCGTCCAGACTGGGGAATAAGGGGATCTAGATGTTGTAACAGGAAGTTCTGACCTTTGTGTGCAGATCAGAGAAATCTGGGGATGTCCATGCGAGTGGAGCGATCATCTCTGGATCAGGTGAAGAAACGTTTCGAGGTCAATAAGAAGAAGCTGGAGGAGAAGCAGAAGGAGTATGATTTTGAGGAGCGCTTGAAGGAGCTGCGGGAGGAGGTGAGGAGGGAGGGAACTGCTGGTCACTAGGTTGTTTTCTCTCTACTGATAATTGTGGTTCCTAAAGCAGACTTCTTTCCCAAAATGTATTTATTTTCAAACATTACATACATACTGTATAACCACTGGGACTCCAAACAGTCCCAGACCTTACAGAAAACTTCTCTTCAATTCAACACAAATAATAAATATGAAACATTAATGTAAGGCAGGAATTTAAATATTTCTTTCAAAAAGAAAAAAACAACAAATTGTGTTAAAACAAAACTTAGTATTGGGTGATTAAGTTCGAAACCAACCATACACTACTCATTCTCACTCAGTGTGAAAAATTAAGTTTAATCAATCAACACCAGACAATTAATATTTCTTTTTCCCATATGATGTGTAGGAGGTTATTTATAGGTCATCCCTCAGCATTTCCTCTGAAACCACACAAGTCAAGAAAGGCAGTTTCTAACTGGGCCTTAGATGATGTCAAAAGTAGAGTGCAGAGAATTTTTTTTAAACATTGTACTTTCAGCATACAACAAAGGCCTTTTGTTTTTTTTTGCAACATCTCTACAAAGAGCAGTCACTATTATAGTTAAGGTTGGATTATAGAACCTGCAGAATTGATATATGTGCTCTATAATTCCTTTGAACGTTTTGCTTTAAATGTAGAAAAACATGTTAGTTTATGTTACTTTTTTAGGACCTTTTGTCATATGGTTACTAACCTTCTGAGGACCGATAAGCCTTATGAGGCCAAAGTCTGGTTCTAATTTGGTGAGACCTCATTTTTAATTTTAGGTGGGTTTTAAAGGTATTGCAGGGTCTCCGCCGGTCATTAAAAACCATTAAAAGTCATTAAATTATGATTTTTTTATTTTTATCGAGGCCTTAATTGGCATTAAAGTTCATATTATGTGATTATTGTGTCATTTAAAAGGCTTTGTTTAAAAAAAAAAAGTTTGGTCAGATATATCAAACACAACCTCTGGTTGATCGTAAGCCTGTATGTTTGGAGAAGAAGCTTGAGGCGCAGAAAATGGCTATATATATATGTATATATATATATGAGAGAGTTTTGGGTACTTGTTGATGGAATTAAAATTATTTCTAAGAGCATTAAAAAGCATAAAATTATAAACCCTGTGTTGTGTGAATTACACTCACGTTAAGGTTTGGAATTTACTGGTAAGGTAAATGTTGGGTTAGGTAGAAATGCAGATGAACTTAAATAAATGGTAGTCAATGTAAAGCGATAATATGAGTAAAAAGACAAACTACAGTGTTGTGTTTATTAAAAGCTAGAGGTTAAACAGGGTGTTGTGGGTTTTGCTGAGAACATCCCATCTTGCTGGGGAAAACGACTGGAGATTTGATTTCATTTTATATCGCTTTACTTCTGAACTGCGGCAACCCTCACATACACATAGAGCTACATTTTCTAGAAGAGAAACGCTTGACTTCTTCGCTGGTCAGAAAAAAAACAAAAAAACGAAAACGATGACTGACATATGGCACTCACGCCATCTGGTGGAGAATTACTTATACGATAAAACCACTACAATCTTAACCTGAATTGTATTTATTAAATTTTATTTATTTAACCTATGAACAATATCAATTAGCCATATTACAACAATATTCAACACGGGGAGTTTGATGTTGGTTCTCTGCCACTCAGATGCTAATAAACAGTCCAAACGAAGACCTTGTTACCCATGAGGAACCCTTAAAGGAGTTTATGACCGAAACAATTATTTGAATTTATCGTGACAACAGAAATAATCCTCAACTAATTTGGTAACTGAATGACAGTTACCAGGACAGTTAACAGGCTGTAAATTTGGAAATTTTCTGCCATAAACCTTCTTTTGTCTACTCCTAAAGTGGTAATAAAAGAGATTTCTATTAAGTGCCCGTTACTATCCAATTATTAATCCAATTTTTTTTCAAAGTAATATATTGAAGCCGCAAAGAGACGAACATAAAAGCTTAAGTCCATGAGTGAAACCACAACGATGGAAGTGCACCATCAGATGAACCTCCTATCTGTACGCAGATATGGATCAGACCAATGACAGTCATGTTATCTGCAGACTGAGGAGTTTTACTGTTGGTCAGCTGAGGTTAAGTCATTAGTGTACAGCGAGAAGAGTGGAGGGAGAACAGACCCCTAAACAGGAGATGATGATACATTCAAGAAAGCCTGTATTATTTTGTTGTTACAATTCTAAAGGACAACCTTGTCTGAGAAGCTCCTGATTTCATGACCGATGCTGTTTTCTGGACTAGTTTTTTGTCACAAAGTGTGCATCCTGTCCTTTATAACTATCTCTGACTTATATAGACACATGACCTGGCTTTAGATGACTTAATTGTTGTCTTTCCAGGAGGAGAAGGCAAAGGCCTACAAGAAGGAGAAGCAGAAGGAGAGGAAGCGGCGAGCCGAGGAGGATCTGGACTTTGAGGAGGACGATGAGATGGCGGCTGTGATGGGTTTCTCTGGTTTTGGATCGTCCAAGAAGAGTCACTGATGCTCACCTGCAGACCGGAAACCAGTTCATCGAGACTTTGTGATGTGGAGGAAACTGATAATAAAAACATAGAGAGGAGGGGTCCCAGTGGAAGCATCGCCCTGCTCCAGACTTCATTCACAGCCAGACTCTTATTTTGGTAATTTGACCCGTGTTTCTGTAATGGGATAAAGA